GAAATTAGCCCGTTCATAAACTAAATTAATCTGATATTCTTAAAGGGGGATACTGATGGAAAGTTTTTTCACTCTGCTTAAGGGATTCTTAAAACATATGCTTCAAAGAAACGATGGACTGCAGAGTGAATTAAAATAGCTTCTAGCTCTCCTCTTCATCACTCAGTAATGTATGAAAAAGCTGAAAATACTTTATTTTATTTCGGTAACATGAAACGTCAGTCCTGGTTATTTCTTTGTATCACCTGGAAAACTCTTTAGTGATGCGAGATCTACATGGTGAAGCATTTTCAACTTATATCTGAAATAGCAAAAGCATCTAAAAACTTTCACAATGACACCTTTCCTTCCTCTTTTGTAGATGTTTGGGTAAATATGTGTGAATACAACTTCTCGATATCTCATCTGAACATTTCCTTTCCTTCTTTCTTGTCTATCTTTTAGCTTTTTGCAATTCTGCAGTCCTGTAAGTACCTGCTATTTATTTCAAGTAAAGGAATGTTATTTTCCAGAAAACTGTAATTTTGGGGTTTCTTGCTCTTTTTGCATAGGGTGTGGAGAAAAAAAACTGCAGTTGTCTTCTGTATCATGAAAAGCAGAATGATCTGGAGTTCAGGCAAACTGGATTTTTTTAAAGGAGGTTTCTTCCTCAGCCTACGTAAAAGATCCTGTTTGTAGCACAGTGTCAAAAACAGGTTTTTTAAGTCCATCGAAAGGGAGGTGAACAGTGACTCAAGGTAGAAACATGAAGAGTGGAGGTGAGCACTGGAAACCGGCATTGCTGCTGAAGAAAATGTTAACGCAAATGCATCCTCTATCTCATCTCTCTCTTTCTCTCTCTGTTTTTCTTGCTTCCTCTCTCTCTGATCTGCTCCCCCTCTTCTTGCCCAAAAGTTAGAGGTATCCCCTTGCTTTGACAGGTGGAGGAGCGTGCCTCTTTGGAGGTTTCTTCTGCCCTTTGATGCCTATTTGCAGTGCTAGTTAGTTTGAGTGGAGGTAAGTGCCTGTTTGCTCTGTAAAAGCTGTAGTGGTTC